ATAGCGAGAGAGGGAATACAGCAGGGGGAGTGGGAGAGGGAGAAGCAGCCTTCCCGCCGAGCAGGGAGCCCGATGCGGGGCTCGATCCCAGGACCTGGAATCATGACCTGAGCCGAAGGCAGACGCTTAACGACTGAGCCACCCAGGCACCCCTTAAACATGCATTTAAACAATCTCCCATTTTGTTACTGCTTTTTTAAAAAAAAATCATTTTTAGGGGCGCCTGGGTGGCTCAGTCATAAGCATCTACCTTCAGCTCAGGTCATGATCTCGGGGTCCTGGGATCGAGCTCCGAGTCGGGCTCCCTGCTCAATGGGCAACCTGTTTCTCTCTCTGCCTCTGCCTCTCCCCCAGCCTGTGCTCCCTCTCTTTCTCTCTCTCTCAAATAAATAAAATAAAATCTTTTAAAAAAATCATTTTCACTGTTTCTATAGACCTAAGAACACATTTATCTATTAAACCGTTCTCAGGCTAGTCTCCAAAAACCTGAATGTATGCTGGCCTGAGATTTGGTAGTTAGGAGCCATGTAAACAGGAAAGCTCTGATTGTTTCCTTTGTTCCTGGGCCTTCTTCCCTCCAGTTCTTTGGTGTCCTTTTTCTTTCCCTCTTAATGACCATTAATGTAGCTAACTTACAGCCTTGTGCATTCCAAGATGGTTTCGTATACATACCTACCCTGCCTTGCCTTGCAAAGTATCAAAGTGTGAAAGTTTATTCCACAAAATTAACTTATTCTTCATTTCTTTCCCTTCTTTTTAAAACTAGGTATTTCCTTAGTGATGTGATTACTAAAGAAAGGTCTTTTAACCTGATAGGAAGTAGTAAAAAGCTGGGGGTTTTGTGGTTATATTTTTGGGTGAATACTGGTTGACTTCAAGAATTTTATTTTTACCTACAACTTAGGGCTATTGCTCTGTAGCTTAGACGTGTAGTAATAGTTAATAAAATATTAAATTAGCAAGTTACTGAGAATTTATGGATCACTCTAATTCAATATTCTAAGAGGTCTGGTTAACAACTGGGTAACCTTACAAAATTCTGTCTCTTTATACAATTATAATGGAAATTTTTACAACTGTTAGGAAGGACACTTTGTTAGCATACTGTTAGATTTGTATTGAGTTGGTTGTGGTTGTCAGTTTTTGCTATTCTTGTTTATTGCTGGTGGTTTAGTTACCCTGGGGCAGGGGATACAGAGGTACTGGTATCAATAATATTTCTGGCCTTTAATTTCCCCATAGTTATCAAATCACATATGTGTTACAATTCAGGTATGAGTAATTCCTTTAAACCTAAAGCAGATGTTTACAGAGATCCTTTTCCCCAGGTTTTTTTTTTTTTTAGTAGCTTTATCACTATGACTAACTTGTGTTTTGTATCAGAAAGTGGAAATCTATGGGACACGTGGGCCTGGACATCTTTTGCCCCAATGGTCTTTATCAAGAAAACTTTGAAAATTACTGTTGCCTTAATGAAGTCGTAGACTGACAATTTTAATCAAGATATTTGTTAATTTAATGGATGACATTTCAACTTAGTGAAGTAGAAATACTTAGTGTGAGGTATTTTAGCTTGTTAATCCTTTAATTATTCAACAGACATGGAGTACTTTCTCTTATTATGGAACCCATAAGATTTTCTTCAAACTTTTTCATACTGGTTCCCACAGGTTTCAGGTTACATAGTATTTTTCTTGCCTTTTTTCCCCCGTCATTTTGACATTTTTTATTTGAATTTTTGTATTAAAATAATTTTCTCTAAAAACAAAGATTTGTTTTGTTTTTAAAATGATCTCTCATTTACAATATCTTGACAATGGTTCTCCTCAAATTGTGGTTTAATTTGAGCTGAAAGTTTCTTGAAGCTCTGTTTTCCTATAAATAATTATAAATTCTTACCAGTTCTTTGAAGTGAGTCTCCTTAGGCAGCTTTGTTACCCTATCTTGAGGTTTTGGTTTTTTTTTAATTTTGAGTATTTACATTTAATTTTTAAAAAACCTTTATCTACTATTGATATTTTGCTAATGGTTTGGCCTTTTTTCCAGTTGATTGAAATTGGAGGAAATGTTACTGTATATTCACATATAAACTGAGCACTTATATATAGTTCCTTCCTTCATAGAGTTTTCCAAATAGCATAAGAAGTTACTTACCCATGTAATGACAATATTATAATTTCCTAATGGTGACCTAACTGCTACTGAAATGGCCTCCTTTTTTATCTTTTGTCTTAGGGCAAAGAAAAAGGTGATTCCTGCACCTAAACCCAAAGTGAAGGTAAGTATTGAACCAAATCTTTAATTAGTCATAATTGGGGAATGCTGAAATACATTCTTAAGATGCAAAGGATATATGTATTTGGCATAGGTGGATAGGTACTGTATCTTTAAGAAGGGTATTTTTAAATTTTGTAAAAATCCTAGAACCATTGTATTTCAGAGAATTAAATTGTAAGATTTAACCTAATAAAAGTTAGAAGCGTTCTGTAAAATATAACAAATATCCTTTAAAAGCATAGTTGAGATTGCAAATACATAATAGAAATCCCTAAGTCCCAAAACAAAGAAGAAGCTGCCAGCGTGTTAATCTGTCATTGAAAATTTGGTTGCCTTTAGGAGCATTTGCTGATTTTCATCCATCACTTTATGGTTTATTTTTAAATTTCTTCTCAGACCACAGCAGATAGGGGTATCTTCGCCTTATATAGGTTAGGAATTAGACTGAAACTCTGTGTAAACCTGGGACTTTCAAAGGGTAACATGTTTAGTAAAAGAAAGGACTAGAAAAGAAATCCACTCACCAGCAGAAAGATTAAGGAACTTGGGTGTCTTGGCCTGAGTTCTAGATTAGGGGAAGGAAGTCCTTCCTGAGAATTTTCCCTGGTTTAGGAGTTTAATTTACACTGCCTACAAGACCTGGGAAGTCCTCAAGCTTTGAAAATAACTTAAAGGGATATTAGATTAGTTATTAACCCAAGGCAAATGGCAAATCAAATTCTCTCTGGAAAAATGCAGTTTCATCCCAGGCCCCAAAGGCTTACCACATATATACCGTGTCAAACATGAGCTTAAAATGTGAAGACACAGAATACATAAGGAAGTAAGTTACTATGAGTGAGAGTCAGCAGAAACATCCAACAGAATTAGATCCCTGAGAAGGGCAAGTGATGGATTTATTGGGTTTAGAACATAAAGGAATTTAACTTGTTTAATATGTAAAGAAGGAGAAGAAGGGATAAAAAAATACCAAAATAGACAAAGCAGAGTTGAAAAAGAATCACGTATAATCTATAGAAGTGAAAATTGTAATCATTTGAAAGTAAAATTGTAAAGAAAGCCCACACCCTTTAGGTTTTAGACTTTCCCCATAGCCTTCATCTCTTTGAATAGATGAGTTTCTTGGCTTATGAGATTATGGCCAGAAGGTCAATATTTGTTACTCTCTGGCCTTCTTAACTTTTAGTATTAGAGGCTCTTTGAATACAGAGTAAATAGTCTTCTTTTTCTTACCTACCTCATTTGTCTTCTAATCCAAATAATATTGAACCAGTATTTCATCACATCTGTTGAGTTCATGCTTTGCTTTGACACTGTATTTTTAAACTCCTAATGCTCTCCATAAAGTGTTGGTTAAATTTTGATACATCTATTCAAACATATGATTATCAGAATTCTAATAATGACAGGGATGGTATAGGGGAATTGCCTCTTTTGTTTGTCTTTGTGATTAAATTACTGTTTCCTTTTCCCCAAATGGAAAAACTATATTGCTGATTTGTGTTTTTCCTACCCTACCACCCCTCAAATACCTGTTTTAGTTATAAAGGTAATATAAGGAAGTACAGTAGAAAATGCAAATACAAAAAAGTAAGAAGGAGCAAAGTAAAAGTATCCAGGAAAAAAAGCTCTTCCTTTCTAGTACACTTCTGGAGCTCTGTCCTTGCCACCCCTCCTTTGATCCATCCAAATAGCTATTCATTTATTCAGACTGAATTAACATTTTATAAATGGGATAACCTGCTTTTTAGACTCAAATATATACCCTGGACAATTTATCTCTGCTAGTATAAATTTATATAGTACCCTGGTGGGTGGATTTAACATTATTCTAGAAGAAAAAATTAATTCAGGGGCACCTGGCTGGCTCAGTCAGAAGAGCATATGATTCTTGATTTCAGGGTTGTGAGCTCAAGCTGCACATTGGGCCCAGAACTTAAAATAAATAAATAGATAGTAAATAAAAATGAAACCAGTATATTCTTTAAAAAAAATAAAAAGTTCCTTTAAAAAAGTTTTATATTGGTAATGCTACCATTATGATTCCAATACATTCCCCCACCCTCAGTTTGTATACTTTTTTAATAAAAAAGGTATTTTCACTAATCATATTTGAATGGATGGCCTGTCAGGCAGACGTGTCTCATATGTATTACCCATTCATCTTAACAGACAATTTTTTTTTTTAAGATTTTTATTTATTTATTGAGAGAGAGCATGAGAGGGAGGAGGGTCAGAGAGAGAAGCAGACCCCCTGCTGAGCAGGGAGCCTGATGCGGGACTCGATCCTGGGACTCCAGGATCATGACCTGAGCCGAAGGCAGTTGCTTAACCAACTGAGCCACCCAGGCGCCCCTTAACAGATAATTTTGACCTTAGTGCAGTTACACTACAGAATTCTGAGAGGCAGTGGAGTTTTCAATCAGGGCTTTTAGACTAGCAGCTTAGAAAAATTGCTGAGGAAGTTAGAGTTTAACAGCCTTCTTACCAGCTTCTTTACTGTAATACCTTAGAAGGTGATGGTAAAGACACTTCCTCTCCATTCTTTCCCCACTATGGTTAAGGTAAGTGCTGTGATTGTATAAATTAATGTGTAATTTAAGACTGGGTTTAGGTTTATTTGGGTTTGTTTTTAAGAGACTAATCAAAGAAACTTTGAAGTGCTTTTTATGTAATAGTTTTATTTCTTCTTAATCTTAAAAATGACATGGGACGCCTGGGTGGCTCAGTTAGTTGGGCATCTGCCTTCGGCTCGGGTCATGATTCCAGGGTCCTGGGATCGAGTCCTGCATCGGGCTCCTTGCTCGGTGGGGAGCCTGCTTCCACCTCTCCCTCTGCCTGCCGCTCCCCTCCACTCGTGCTCTCTCTCTCTCAGAAATAAATAAATAAAATCTTAAAAAAAAAATCTTAAAAATGACATGAGTCGAATACTTTATATTTCCCTTTTAAGGGAAACAGCTTTTTTTTTTTTTTTTTTTAGATTTTCTTTATTAGAGAGAGACAGAGCACAAGGGGGTGGGGGGAGGGAGAGCTCCACTTTGAGCTCGGAGACTCACGCAGGCCTGATCTCAGGACCCTGAGATCATGACCTGAGCCGAAACCAAGAGTCGGAAGCCCAACCAACTAATACATTAGTCCCAGGCACTCCGAAACAGTTACTTTTTAATTCTTTTGCTCTTGGAATATTTTAAATTGTGCTCTAATTCTCTTTTCTCTTCCTTGAATTTTAAGAAACTTATTTTTTTTTGGGAAAAAAAAAATTCTCTTAGGTATTCAGAATTTTAATTCCCATAACCTTGTTTTCTTGTGTATAGTGCCTTGCTCATAGTAAACATTTAGTAAATATATGTTGAATAAATTACAAATGACCATAATGAATAGAAGACTTAATTTGAGTATGCTTGGATTGAATCCCAGTTTATGTACCACTTCTCTATGTACTGGCTATGAGTGGCTCTAGGACAGGGCATACAGCGGCAGATACACAAGGGAGCAGAAAGTGAGGGTCAGTATTGTAGCAAAGCATACTAGAGGAGAAGGGCAGAGTCTTAGAATAAAGGCAGAATATCTCCTAGGTACAAGAAGAATAAAAAGAGAATAGTCCATGAACAGATGGATTTGGAATAGTATCTGAAGATCTGATGCAGGTGGGGTGGGGTGAGGGAGAGTTTCGCCAATAATGCAACTAGTATACGAATATTCCTTTGGCTTGGTGTCAAGTTCTCTTAGAAGAGCTTACTAAGGTATGGCAGCTGTGTGCACTGTATCAGATGCTTTGGCTTCTGAACGGTTCAGTCAAGAGCTCTATCCTGAGAACTGTTTTGGTTTTTTCAGTCTAAAGATTTCCAATAGAATTTTAATCATTGTGAGAAGTTCTTAGTCCTTTAAAAAAAAATCAAAAAAACTAATACTTAGTAATTATTTATTAATCATTTAATTTGTTCCAATATAATGCTGTTTATACTAGGAGTGTAGTCCAAAAAAGGACCAGAAAACTGCATCGTTGGTGGCTTCAGTTGGTGGTCCCTCAACGAGCTCTAGCACATCTGCCGTGGCCTCCACCAGCTCTAGCTCCACACCAGCCCAGGAGACGATCTGCCTTGATGACTCACTAGATGAAGACCTTTCTTTCCATCCACCTGCACTGGATCTTGTTTCTGAAGCTTTAGCTGTTATCAACAATGGGAACAAAGGCCCTCCAGCTGGCTCAAGGATAAGCATGCCAACTGCAAAACCTCGTCCAGGACTGAGAGAAGAAAAATTAGCAAGTATCATGAGTAAGTTGCCGCTGGCTGCTCCTAAAAAACTAGATTCTCCTCAGACTGCACATTCATCAAGTCTTATTGCTGGTCATACAGGGCCAGTACCAAAGAAACCCCAGGATTTAGCTCATACTGGCATCTCTTCAGGCCTTATTGCTGGTTCTTCAATTCAGAACCCTAAAGTTTCCTTGGAACCTTTGCCAGCCAGGCTGCTTCAACAAGGACTACAGAGGTCGAGTCAGATTCATGCTTCTTCCTCTTCCCAGACCCACGTGTCCTCTTCCCAAGCCCAAGTTGCTGCCTCCTCTCACGCTCTGGGGACACCAGAGGCCCAGGATGCTTCTTCGTTAACACAAGTAACAAAGGTGCACCAGCATTCAGCTGTCCAGCAAAACTATGTGTCTCCATTACAAGCAACCATTAGTAAATCACAGACCAACCCAGTGGTGAAGTTAAGTAATAATCCCCAACTTGCCTGTTCATCCCCGCTTATTAAGACTTCGGATAAGCCACTTATGTACCGCCTTCCCTTATCTACTCCCTCACCTGGAAATGGTTCTCAAGGGTCCCACCCCCTGGTTTCTAGGACAGTACCCAGCACCACTACCTCCAGTAACTATTTAGCCAAGGCTATGGTGTCACAGATGTCCACGCAGGGTTTCAAGTCTCCCTTCTCAATGGCTGCATCCCCCAAACTTGCCGCATCTCCAAAACCTGCCACATCTCCTAAACCCTTGCCCTCACCTAAGCCTTCCGCCTCACCCAAGCCCTCTCTGTCAGCTAAGCCTTCAGTATCAACGAAACTTATTTCTAAGTCCAACCCCACTCCCAAGCCTCCTGTACCCCCAAGCTCTTCCAGTCCAAATGCACTAGTAGCCCAGAGTAGCCACTCCAGCAGTAACAACCCAGTCCATAAACAACCCAGTGGGATAAACCTCAGCAGACAGTCGCCCACCTTGAATTTGCTGCCCTCTAATCGCACTTCAGGCCTTCCATCCACAAAAAATCTTCAGGCCCCTTCAAAGCTCACAAATTCCTCATCCGCTGGAACTGTCGGGAAGAACAGCTTGAGTGGGATTGCAGTGAATGTACCTGCCAGCAGAGGTAGCAGCCTAAACTCAAGCGGAGCGAATAGGACTAGTCTCTCTGGGGGAACAGGAAGTGGAACACAGGGTGCTACTAAACCGTCGTCTACTCCACATAGACCATCCTCTGCCTCAGGGTCTTCAGTGGTAACAGCCAGTGTGCAGGTATGTATGTTACGTACATTCATGGGATAAAGTATAAGATTGTGCGGTCTTTCCTGTGAGTCCGTTTAATAACCATGTACGTAGGTTGTTCGTAATAGCTTATTACAGCTTATGGCCAAGGAATGTTCCTGATGTTCACATCACAGTAATGGGGATACTTGGTGGATGAGGTTTTTGTTGGGATGTCATTTTTTTTTTCTTCCAGGTGAAGTAGCACATACGACTTTTGCAATTTTTGAAAAACACATAATGCATATTTAAAATATGTTGTCAAAATTCAGAACAAAGTAGTAACTTACGAGTTTAACATACCCTCACTTGTCTCCTTTCTCCCTCTCTCTAGTCCCCTTTCTCCTGTCAACTTTTTTATTTAATCAAATTTATACATTCATGGTTATTTTTTTTTTCCTTTAGCCATTTGTCTTTTCAAATAAAATTTTTATTTGGCATGAATTTTGCAGTTACTCATATGTAATTCTCTGTGTCAAATTACTGTCGATAATCCTTTTATACCACCGGTTTCCCCGTTCGTGAGTTTTTAATTTAAATTTATCTCACAGTGGGAGTGCTTCACTCGGAGTCTTTTCAGGAAGACTAACACAAAACTTACTTTACCTTAGCTCCAGCATACCTGATCATTTCTGTACTGTCACACTTAGGTATGTAGACTTCTCGGGTCACTAACGGTCTCCTCCCAATGTTATAAATACTGTTCCACTGACCTTTGCTTAGTATTGAGGATTACAGGGAAGTCTGAGGCCATTCCAGTATTTTGTTCCCTTGTATGTGTTTTCTCTGCCTAAATGCTAGTAAGAGTTTCTCTTTTTCCTTGAAATTCAAGTATCCTCAAATTATGGCTAGGTTTTATCTGTAAGTTTATACCTGGCGGCTTTTTCAGCTCAAGAATATTTTGTTCTATGATGTGTTTCATTATCATTTCTGATCCATTTGTCCCAGGTTTGTTGAGAACTCTTTATTACTCATATTTCATTTCTCTCCTTTCCATGTCATCTTCTCTGTCACTGTTTTCATCTTTCTGCTACTCCTTGTATTCTGAGACTTGCCAGATTTGTCCTTCACGTGACCAGTTTGATTTCTGTAAGATTCTTCTTCCCTGTCCCCCATCCCAAAAAGTAATACGTATTCACTGTAGGCAAATTCACAACAAAGAAGAGTCCCCCATTATCCCACTGCTGTTTATATTTTCCTGGTACTTTTTTGGATTCTTGTCAAGAAAATGGGTGTCCTATAATAGGCTGTTTCATAACAAGCTTTTTAAAAATATGTAACATTTTGTGATGTTAGTTCTTAGGTTCCCAAGTGTTTTTTGAAAACATGACTTTTGTTGATTTGTGGGATTCCGTTGTCTCAGAAAGTGTTCTTTTTACTGCCTCCTGTTGATGCGGAATAGGAGCATCTAATGAAAGAATTTTTATCTTGGTGTTTATAGATATTTTCTGCTCTTCAGTACAAGCTAAGCATTGGTATTCATAAACACATGAAACCCAGATCATCACTCTGCCATTACTGTAGGCTTAGTAATGAATTCATTTATTCCAGAATTCTAATATAAAACAAAATTCAATTAACCGATACTTTACTAGTTGAAATCTAGGATGTTTTATCTGTTTAGTTTTACTTTCATCAGAAATAAAATGGAAAAAAAAAAAAAACACCCACTGATTAGGGATTGTATGTTAAAATTTAAGTTATAACTAAGGTCTGGGAGTTAGTTCACATTCCTCTTTGTGATACCTTTATTAAAATGTTGACTGTGTTTGACGTTAATCTTCAATTTGAGTAAAGGACAGAATCATAACAGAAATGCCAGTTCCCTGCCACATGGGTCCCCCTTCCTAGTATCAGTTACTTTTAATTCTCATAGCTTTTTCTGTGTTTTTAAATACTAAGAATGGATGGAAGACAATTTATTCATTTTACTATTATCTCTTAACTTATCATGATAAAGCTTTTAGCTGCCTTTATACCTTTGCCATTCTCCTGAAAGAGTAAAAGTACAACTTTTGGTTAAATCCAGGACTATGTAAAATATTGTCTCTCTTGAGCTAAATCGTAAACTATGGTTTCTTTTGCTTTAAGTTTTTGTTTTTTTTTCCTGAAGAAAAATTGCCTTTTTTCCCCCTTCATTTTGAATTTAAGGTTAAATCTTTCTCTAGCCTTTGTCATCTCCAGAGTCTCTCAGTTCTGTCCCCACCCTGCTGCCACCCCCTCAGCTCTCCCCCTCCTGCCAGTCCTTCTTGTATTTGATCATCTATCCCAGGAGAACCTAGATACTTAGCATACCAATTCATTTGTCAGCAGGGAACCCATATGGCAAAATTTGTGTTTCCAAAAAGTTAACTACTTTTTTCTAGTTTTCATCCTTTCCAATATGACTTTATGATTTGAAGGCCTTATTGTTCCTGCCTTCAGATCTGATCCTTTTTGTTCTGTCTTACTGGTTTGACTGAAGAAAAGGTCAGTAATTGAATAAGGTTGATCGAAACTTTGGGGGAACCTGTGGTTTGGTTTTTTTGTTTGTTTGTTTGTTTGTTTTTTAACGTAGTCTGTCATTGAGACCTCGGGGCCTCTAAATCCTGTCTCTCTAGCACTCTTAACACTAAAAGGAGATTCCCTATCTGTGCCTGCAGAACATTCGGCTCCTGTCTGAAAGACATCTTCAGCTATCTGTTCATTTGCAGAGTGAAAAGGACAGGCCCTGAGTTTAACAGAAATTAAAATCTTTCCGGGTTCAGATTATTACCTCTACCTACTTTCTATTTAATAACTTCCTGCTCAAGGCTTTCCTCTTCTTTCTTACCCTTCAACTTACTGATGTTCTGTGAATCCATTTCTTTGCCACTTTATAATTCCCAAAATAATTAACTCATTAAGCAAATGTTTCTGAGGTATTTAATATGTGCCAGGCACTCTTCTAGGTGCTGGGGAGATAGGGTAAACACCATACTCAGGATCTCTCCGGTCATGGAGCGTATATTCCAGGTAGAAAGATAAAACACAAATTTTTAAAAAACATGTTAAGTGCTATGAAAAAACAATAATATGACAAAGTGTGATTGCTGCTAACATAGATAAGGGAGTTGGGGATAGCCTCTTTCAGGAGATAACATTTGATCTGAGAACTGAATAAGCAGGCTAGTCATTTGGAGATAGGAGGGAACAAACAGTCCAGGCTAGAGAGATGGTAGGTGTGAAGACACTGAGATAGGAAGGAGCCTGATGTGTAGGTATGCATGGCTGGACTACGGAGAGATGGATAGGTGACAAGGTCTGAGATCAACCAGAACCATGTGATGCAGGACCTTGCAGGTCACGATAAGAACTTGGGGTTTTAATCTGTGCAGTGGGAAGCCATTGGAGGGTCTTCATTGATTTATATTTCAAAATATCCCTCTGGTTGTTATAGAGAACGGGGGGGTGGATGCACTCAGCGAGATAAAATGTGGTTTAAAAAAATTCTCGATAGATAGAATGCCCACTGCAGGAAGAGCATGGTTTTCCTTCATATTTTCCCCTGGGAATGAAATATGGAGGTCGTGGAAGTATTTTTGATTATGGAGCATTATCCTGAACTGTCGGCCTGTTTTAGGTTGACCGCTTCTCCTGTATGCTTTCGAATGATATCAGCAATAGGATACCTAACTTTTGAAAGGTCTCCATCTTACAGGGAGAGAAAAATTTATAAATGCCATGTAATATTTAGGTAGTCTGATGTTTCATTTTAGTTTTATAAACAAAAGTGGATATGGAAGTTTTTTGAAAGTACAAAATATTACACAGTTATGGCATGGTATCATTTTTTATCGCTCAGTTAATTTGGGAAGTTGCCCTAATTTACGTTTTCCAGCTATTTTAATACTTCAGTTAGCCTTCTCCAGAAAAGCTTGAGTTCTCCTTATTAGCAGTATCTAATGTTCCTCTCTAGGGGGCTCCACTTGGGGCACATGGCCTTGGAGTGTGTGCCTCATATTATCCTGAGATTACAAGAGAACTATGATTTTAAAAAAACTCTTTTTAATTCTTAAATTGATGCAGGATACCTTCTATCCAAATTGCTTCAAAGTGTCCTTATTTCTAGCTTAGTAATTCTTTCCAGTGTATCCATTTTGTATATCATGGTTGGCCAGTAAGGGAAAGACTAGAAAATAAGAAAAGTAGCCAAGTCCAAGCATAAAGTAATGAAGATTTGTACTTAAGTGTTGGAGGAAGTAGTGGTTTAAAAAAAAAAAAAAAAATGGGTATGTTGACAGTGAGTTCACCTTGTCCATTTTTTTATGATGCCTAAAAACTAAGGTTTCAAGCCCTGGTGTCGGGAAAGAATGAGACTACTAATGATAGCATTTGAGATGTAGGATGGGGTCACATGATTATAGGAACTGATGAGTTCATCGCTTCTCGGCCTTTTGGCTAAGATCAAGTGTAGGAATGGATGAGTTCATTTGTTGATGAGTGTTCCATATCCAAGTGCTATTCCTCCCTGAGCTTTTAGATTTACAGGACTGAAACTGAGATAGGATATAAAATTGAGAGCTAACAAAGGAGATAAGGGAAGGGAAGGCTGTTGGAGAAAGAGTGGAAAAACCAGATTCAAAGCCTTCTGGAGAGTATTCTTCATTTTTTGTTTAGCAGTGGCATGGACTGTTAGGTGTAAGAAATGTATCCACTGTGACGTGTATGTATGGGAAGATCACTAAAATTTTTCTCATATATTAACTAAGAAATAAAATGATCAGCCCTTTATTAATAATGTTTACTGGAAAAGGAGTGAGCACACAAAATAAACCTGATAATAGTTAACATTGATTATTGACTTAAAAATATTCGAAGAATTCAGTTTTCTTGACTAAATTTAGAACTGTAAAATTTTTGGCCAGGGAAACTTAGAATTGGTAAGATAAGACTACAAAAGAAAATTCATAGTTGTACAGACTATCATAGATAATATCTGATACTGAGACAATTTTATTATAATGTTTGTTGATAAGTACATGTAGAAAAGAAAGTCAAAATGGGAAAAGATTGCTGAACAGAAAATTGTTCAAAGAATTAAATTAGCTTAATGAAGTGTATTTAACTAATTTCTTAGGGAAAGTTAATGTTACCATATTTCTTTCTGATTTAAATGTACTTTTCATACACATGGCATCAAAGCCCAGATAGAGGAGTATTAAAACACCTTTTACTGCAAGGAGTCTTTAAGTTCTGAAAAGTATTGAATATGGAAACCAGCTTCCAGGGGTTAAGGAGAAACTAGATAATGTGGGGAATGGAAGGTATCATTTACTAAATTTGGTTAACAAAAGGAATACAAATAAGTTTGGTTTTTCTAGGGGTTGAGGAGCAGCCAGGAATAACTGTAGTTGTTTAAAAAAAAAAAAAAAGATGAGGTCTCTGTATATGGCAAGACAGAGGAAACTTGGAAAAAGATGTAATACTAGATATTTGTACCAGAAAGTTTGGCATAGGGAGATTCATGGCATAGGTCAGTTTTGGAGAAGAGGCAGGTAAAGCTAATAAAGGAAGAGGAAGAACATCCAGATGGCCTCATTTCTTCAACGCGTTCTGATGAAAGCAGAGGGTATTGTGTTACGGGCTCTGAGAGAGTTCTTGTCTGGAACAGTAACCACATGGATTGTATCAGAAAAGATGGTAAAACAAACAATGAAATTACCAAACATTTTCAAAGACCAAATTGAAATTGTATGGAATTAATGACCAGTAGCTCAGATCGAGGAGCTAGGAGCAAAAGTAGAAAAGTGGAAGTCTGAGGTGAGGAATGAATGAATGAGTGGTAATACAGGCGTTAAAATAAGGAGTTTAAACTGGCAATGAAGAGCTGAGTAGAGAATTAATTCCAAAACCAATATGGGTAGGTCTCAGAAATATATTTTTCACCTCAGTCTTCATTTTCTGTCTCATAACGTTTCTGTTAGAGTAGATATAGGACACAGTCTTGCGCCCATAAGGATATTAAATAAAATAAATCAATTCAGGTTAAAGATTTGATTTCTTATGTATTTTGACCCCTGGTTTCTGCAGTCCACAGCAGGAGCATCATTATTGGCTAATGCCTCACCTCTGACTCTCATGACATCACCTTTGTCTGTAACAAATCAAAATGTGACTCCTTTTGGGATGCTGGGTGGCCTTGTTCCAGTGACCATGCCCTTCCAGTTTCCCTTGGAGCTGCTTGGCTTTGGAACGGACACAGCTGGAGTGACAACCACCTCGGGATCTACCTCAGCCGCTTTCCACCACAGCCTAACTCAGAGTAAGTGCGGCTCCTTTAGTCATTTGGCTACCTAGTTTGACAGAACAGTAAACCTCATGAATTTATACTCATTGAGGGTAGTCCATTTGGAGTTAGTGAAGATTACAGAATTTTTTTTTTTTTAAGAAATGCAATTTATTTCATTTAAATATAGTTAAATTACTGGAATCAGATTTTATTTACAATCCTTAAAGGAACCATCTATACCACATTTCTATCTTAATGAAAGTAATAATAAGAGGAAGTCCTATTTGCTGGGTTATTTGCATACACATACGTTTATACATATAAATTTTTCGATGTATGTGCTCTAGTTTAAGAAGGACTCTGAAGTTAGGGGCTGTACTTATATTAGATAAATTAAACTGTTTTCATTTTTGATCTAAGAGGGCTCAAATCTTAGGTTGAGGAAGATCACTGACAAGTCTGTTTTTCTCTCAGATTTACTAAAGGGTTTACAGCCAGGAGCTCAGCATGCAGCAACACTTTCCCACTCACCTCTGCCTACACACTTACAGCAAACATTCAATGGTAAGAAAGCCACCTATTTTTTCCTCTTTTACTATTTATATAGACTTATAGATTGGATTATAAACCTTTTCTGAAAACTGAATGGGATGACAAAGGTTGGAGAAAAACAGATTTTCATGACTGAATCCTCATTAGCAACAAACTTTTTTTTTTTAAGATTTTTATTTATCTGACAGAGAGATACAGCGAGAGAGGAAACACAAGCAGGGGGAGTGGGAGAGGGAGAAGCAGGGGGAGTTTGAGAGGGAGAAGCAGGCTCCCCACTGAGCAGGGAGCCTGATGCGGGGCTTGATCCCAGGACACTGGGATCATGACCTGTGCAGAAGGTAAGACGCTTAATGACTGAGCCACCCAGGTGCCCCAGCAACAAACTCCTTATAAAAGAAAAAGGAACTAGGTATGAGGCCTTTTGTTACATGTGAAAAAAAAACCTTTTTGAAGACATGTGTTTGTTATATTGAAATGAGGACAAAGAAGAGGTTTCATAAAACAATGTACAAAAGTCATGTCCAGTGATTGTAATAATTCATATGTATTGAAGGTTTACTAAGTGCCAGGTAGTCTTGTGACTGCTTACATGTATTAGCTAATTTAATCCTTGTAACAGGCCTGTGAGTGAGCTAATGACGATCCCCATTTTTATAGACCAGGAAACTGAATTCGAGGGAAGCAACTTGCCCAAGATGATAATCCTAGGAAGTGAGCTGAAATTCAAATCTGGGAAGTCTGACTTAATAGGCTGTATTCTTAACCATTAAACTTTTCTGCCTTTCAGCAGTGATTCAATCTATACGATCCAAACTGTATGCATTAGATACTTGCAGGCCAGCTAGATCACCCTGAAATCTGAAATTAGATAGTGGACACTGGACATCACATATTGGCCTCCAGGTTCTTGCTTTCACTAGCAGTTGGTCTCGGTGGACTGTTGATACTATTCTTGAAGACCATTTTCAGGATCTTTTGAACAGGAGTAACTGTTCAGCTGCCCTCTTAACTTTGGAAGTTGACTGGGACCTCACTATTCTTTTTGGCTACTGCATTTATTTTATTTTATTTTTTTTTTTTAAAGATTTTATTTATTTGACAGAGAGAGACACAGCAAGAGAGGGAACACAAGCAGGGAGAGTGGGAGAGGGAGAAGCAGGCTTCCCGCCGAGCAGGGAACCTGATGCGGGGCTCGATCCCAGGACCCTGGGACCATGACCTGAGCCGAAGGCAGACGCTTAACCATCTGAGCCACCCAGGCGCCCCATTGGCCACTGCATTTAAAATGATCTTTGAACAAGTTTACAGTTGACCACATGCAGAAATCAGAGCTATATGGCAATCTCAAGGCAGCAGGTTATAATTAATCCTGCAAAAGACCTAAGTGTTAAGCTGCCTCAGACTCAGCCCTCGAAAGAATGACTATAACTTTTATATAGTCATTTTATATATAATATAAACTTCTTCTAAAAAGGCCTGAATAGTAAATATTTTCAGCTTTGCAGGTCATATAATTTCTATCCACAACTCCTTGACTCTGCCCCTCTAGTGCGAAAACAGCCATAGACAAATACATTAACGTAAGTGTGGAACGTAAGGTTCCAGTAAAACGAGAAAGCAGTGGTGGGCCACATCTGGCCCTGGGGCCAAACCTTGGTCTAAAGAATCTCACAGTCCAGTTAATACGAGTATTTTATTTTGCTTATTTACCAGCGCCTCTTTGAGCACAGTCCTACCTTGCCATTTTATGAATTTAATTATACCTCAGGTCAAATCATTGTCTCTACAAACACAAGTACATAATATCACATTATAAATGGAAAAGCCAGTGCCTTAGATGTTGAATAGTGTTCTATTTATACAGCTTTTGAAACAAATATCCTGTCTCATTGATCTATCATTTCTTCAACAGAGGCAGTTTTTTGTTTTATGTCATACAGGAGTAATTTAGCTATCACATTAATGAACCTAGCAATGTGACTTTCATGGTCTCCTCCAGCCTTAGGATTGATCTTATAGTACAGTAATTTGTTCCTTTTCACCCGTGTGTTTCTACCATTCATGCCTTCCCCTGACTTTTTCTCTCAGGCCTAGGAGAGGGACGCTTCATTGTCCTTGCTAAGGCAGTAACCTGTTCAACTTTCTCTACATTTTGTTAGTTCTCAAGCTCACTGAGTCCTACTCTTGCCCAGTGTAAATAGAGTAACCAACATTTTCCCAACAAAAGTTAAAAAGCCATATGTAAACCTAGAAACCATTGTTCCCAAGGAGCAGACTTTCCTTATCACTTACAACTTTTGCCAGGTTAGAATCAAAACAAAAACTCAGCTGGATTTTTCACTTACCAGTGTGTTGCATTCATTTACGTAAATAATTGAGAATTGATTATCAAATGCCATGTCATGGCAAGAAATTTAATTTCACTCGCAAGAAAATGGAATTGACCTTGTTGTCTAAAGAATTGAGAGATGTGGTAGGTTCCTTAAACATGGGGATTATGTCTTTTATATTCCTTTATAATCCTCACAGCATCTGACACAGTTGGCTCTGAGATAGATAATAAATACTTGCTGAAATAGTATTTCGACTGAAAATCAGTTGAACCACAGTCACTTGAGATAAGAGGATTGTTTTTGTTGCGTTAATTTATCTCCTTTATGTTTCTGAACCTCTGTGCTATACCATGTAAGATATTAAAGGTTATCTTTTTAGCAATGTCATTCACATGGAAATTAAAAGTTAATTGTTCTCTTTGGGGGTTTTTTTGTTTTGTTTTTATCTATTTTTTTTATAACATGCCAACCCATGCCGATTAAACACCTCTTTTCTCAGATGGAGGCCAAAGTAAAGGGGACACTAAATTACCACGGAAATCTCAGTGACTTCCCAGCAAGCAATGGAGATGAGACACTCAGCCGGCGGATGGAATCTACCTGATGGGAAAGTCCTCATGTGGTCCTAGGGCTGCCGTTCTGTCGATGTTTACATTCTCTCGTCCCAAGCACTGTGGTGAGGAGGAAAAAAAGAAAAGAGAACGTTACTTGAGTAAAGCCAGGTGCAGGAGGAAGAAATGCTTTCATGCAAAGTTAGTGACCTTTGGTCTCCTCTAAAGAAAGACAAAGTTACCACATTAACTGACTTGAAAGAGACTCAGTTGTCAAACCCACAGAAGTACAAATTTGATTTTTCCCCGGGGGAGGAAGAAGGAATCTGAGGATTTGGGTATACTCCATCCATCCTGGGGGTTGGATCTGAACACTTGTAGACATACTTGCATAATAAAAGGCAATATATCTGGAATTAGGCCAGTTTGTCAGGAGTAACAATCATGTCTATTTGAATGGACTATGCAGCAAATTTGCTGCACCAATTAATGACCCTGTGTCTGATACAGACAGTAGCTGAGTAAATATTGTACCCTCACAAATCCTGAACAAACTTGAATCTTCTCCAGTGTGTAGCAACTCCCCATGTAAATCAGTGGACTAAATATGCTTCAAGAAATTTTAGCACAGTGATACATAAAATCATCGAGATTTTTAAAAGTCAAGAAATTGAGCCTGTTGCTCTTAACAGACGAAACTTAGATGTCCCCTTTTTGTAAAAGGGTCAATTTCATCTTCCATTCAGAAGCAGGTACTTAACTCTTCTTCAGGTGATTTGTGCATCTGGTATTGACTGGTTAATTCTTATTTCCATTCTTGATGTTAAAATGTGGCTTTGTTCACATTTTTCTCTTCAGAAATGGGGATCTTTGATGTAGGGCTGCGACTTTGGTGCTCTTAGCCCTTGCAGGCCTACCGTTCTGAACTGTAAATTTCCCAAGCTTCCCCTCAATTCACAACTTCTCCTGGTCTTTTAGCTAGTGGTACTTCAGGTGATTCTTAATTATTGATATAGACAGGTGTAAGTGTGTACTGCACATGCCTCTTCATTGGTCATTCAAATGGCATATATTATATTTTTGGAATTTTTAAGATAGTATTTTAAAGGGAGGAATTACATTAGGATCATTATGTGTACAAGGGATTATTTTTTATAACAATCACAATGTATTTTTACTCCCTGTATCCAGTGTAGTGAAATGGATTTGGAGCATTTGGGATCTTAAAGCTTTATTAATATTTACTGAGAATATTGATATGTGAGTAAACCTGCAGATAATAATAAGACTGCTTAGTTATTATAGCTTCCTTATGCAAATACGTATTCAACAAAGGATGTTAAGGGAGAAATTTATGGTTCCTTTTGGATGCATTTAATTTTTTTTATTTATTTTTTGCCTCATCATTGGTCTTGTCTCTATCAATCTCTCTCACTCTCTCTTTTTTTCTCCCTATTTAGACTTCCGAATGTTTTCAAACCATGCCCAAGATTGGTGTAAGCTTGATCCATTTATAACAGACTAACCTAAAAAACAGCATCAGATTGGTAGTAGCAATATTTGCATGTTTTCATTACAAGTCACCCTCTACCTTTAAATTTATTCAAAGAAGTATATTAATGTGGCCCCTTTTTTTCTTTTATAAGCAAAAGTCCCAAATAGCCTATAGGACTGAATGAGTTACCACAGATCTGTTGAGATCTGTATTACCTGTATTTTGACTTCAAAGTCACATTGGCTTGCTTCATAGCAAAAAGTTAATAAGTAACTGAAAACTTTAGTTCCAAGAACTTGTTAAAGTAAGGGCAAAGGATTATTTCAGAGGAATCATTGATATAATTACTTGCCTCTAAGAATTTAGTTTACCAGTAGAACAAATAAGAATGTTGTGTCAACCCCAGTAGATACTTTGAAAGGATATTGGGATGTTGCCCAGCGGTTTGACTTGAATTGAATATGTTTGATTAAAGGTTGTTTGGCTTATTTAATTTAGGGAAGCTTACCCAATTCTTGAGTTAATACAATGTAGTATACCTGTTGCTTTTATCTAAGTTGGAAAAAAAAAAGTCTTTGCTAATACTGTATAGGAGTTTGCCTTTGGGAAGCTAGCCCTGCTTTCACTTCCCACACCACGAGTCAGAGTGCATATTAATCTCTCTTCCTGCTGATAGTTGTGCATGTATTCATCTGTGTGTATACATAAATTTATTTCTATGTAAAAATTCATTACCAGTTTAAGTCAGGGAATAATTTCAGTTTCTTAAATCCATCAGTTCTGAATCATGCCATGGGAAGATCCCTGATGATTCTTTTGTCTCCATTAGAGAAGAACAGAATTATCAATTCTTCCCCCAAGTATTATTTTATAACTAACCAGTAAAAATATCTGGAGACCCTTGGCTCTGAGAAGTCATATATATGGAGATTATATTCTATTTTCTTCAGTCTTGATTCCATGAGGACTGCAGCCAGATCCCGCCCTCAGCCCCATACCACATTTTCACTAACTTATGTCCGTTTCAGTCACGACTACCCTTTTGTGTTGTACAGATGAAACAGGCATCCTTCTATTTCTTAATAGATAAGTATGATCAGAGAGCTCCTACATGTAAATACAGAACTATTTCTTTTCTAGATCATAACATTGAGAATGGTGGCCATACTTTATGGGCACCTGTCTTTACAGTCTTTCTTACTAAATACAAACATATAAATTGGTTATTTTTTAGCACAGAGACTTGTGACTCATACTGTATTTTTGCACTTAAAAGTCAAATTATGTTATTTTTTAAAATGGTGAGTAATTGGAAAGGTTATAGAGCAATGTGTATTTCTGAAGAGCATTAGCAACATCCCAATGCAAAAATAATCAGCACACTTAATTCTGTCCCACTCAGCGGGATTCTTGATTCAGGAAAATTAAGCTGTTTGTTTTCAACGGTCTTGTACTTTAAATTGCCTTCGCTGATGTATAAGCTGTTACTGTACATACAAGTTAATCCTCAGTATTCACAAGCAATAATGGTCAGCAAAGTTGTCTTCCGAGATAGCAGTGCTGAGCCTCAGTTGGAGACTGTTTGGGAGCAAAGTGTCAAGCTCATTCCGAGCCTCCAAAATCAATGCAAGCAATAATTCCACTGTAACTCAATTATAATTCTTTCTAATATGCTTCTGAGATCAGAGGGTAAAATAAATCATGGTTTTAAACTGAAGAAAAACGTTTCAGAAAAAGAAGTGAAGTTAATCTGAAGTCACAAAATCCTGATATTCTGAGGAAATCAGAGGATTGTGTTCGTACATTATTTTATGCCTACCACCCCTTTGATGGATGTTGTTAGCCCAAATTACACTTTTTTTTTATATCACAGAAGTTGAATAGGGTTTATTGCATCACCAAGGAAGGGGGAAGAACCGGGCACATACATGTCTGGATACTGTGGGTTTGACACCTGTTTGAAAACAACTTACTGGAAAAGATTTTTAACCCAGGATTTTTTTTTTTTTTTTTTTTTCCTTCCCAAAGCAGATCTAAATTGTTTACTACCCAGGGTTGGAAAGGGCAGGCCCCTCTAGTCTTTCTTCTCCGGTTGCCCTTACCACACCCCTTCCCGCCTCTACTTGGTTCACGACAGTTTCTGAGATGGAAACTCTACTGTTAATCAAACTGCCATTGATTGTGAGAACTCTCTGTCCCTTGGGACTGTCTCCTAGAACTCCAGTTGTCTATCATGTTTGCTGCTACACTTGTACAATGAACTTTGCCTGTATTGGTTGATTATAATCTGATTTACAGTTCTTTATCTCTAGGAGGTTTTGTCATATAACTTGACCCATATATAGAGTTAGGATACTTTATTTTAGGAGTGTACCATAAAAGCACACTGGTCCCTGAGTTCTTTTTATTATCATGTAGGTTTTGAATTTGTGTTGGCTTACTTTTTGTTCGTTGATGTTTTGTTTCTCTTTGTTTTAAATTAGAAATAGCAGAGTGAGAAAAATCTATAATCAGGCCAAACTTGAGAACTTTCCCTTGTGCTTCAGCACTGTAGTTTCTGCTGACCATATGTTCTCAAAAGGGGCACTTTCACTTTCTATTGTGCATGTATGATTGTTTTGTTTTTTGCTTTTGTAATAATGAAGCAGAAATGCAGTAGTGGGTAAATGACCGATTATAAACATGCAGTTTTATTTTATAAAATTGAAGGGGAAAAGTTTAACTCTCTGTAAATCATTTCTTAGCCCTGGTAAAATGCTTCTATTACTCCTCTAAAACATGCTCAATTCAGGCCTTTGTCTTTGTTAAGTGCCTTTTTTTTCTTTCTTTTTCCCCCTCTTGAAAGTGTTCTCGGATATCCTAAAGTCCAGGCTAATAAGTCAGGGGATTCAGGAGGAAGAATCTCAAACTTGCCAACGTCATGTCATGCTGTAATATTCTTCCTTTTCTTTATATGTATAAGGATATATGTATAAGATACATACATATATGTGTGTATATATGTATACATATGTAATATATATATGTGTATATATACACACACACATATATATATATATTTATAACTAGTGGCTGCTGTACCATTTCATCCTTTCCAAACACACCCCTTTCGATGTTTGCAAAACTTCTGGCTTGTTTATTCCATTGCGTTTAGTCAATTCAAATGGGTAGATTGGGAAATTGTCTTTACACAAGATGCTATCTTCCCCCTTTGAATATCTGTTTGTAGACTTTAACAAAAATACATAAATATAATAAGTCATTTATTTCAATTAAAGTAAATTTAGTGGACTCATTGACTCTTCCTGGATGTAACCCACTGCTCTCTGCCCTTCCAACTTGGCATGAGTAACACTGGAGAAAGCATTGGAATAACAAGAGTCTTTTGAGGGTCAAGTTGATAAGGTGCACTTGGCAGGCAAGACTAAAGACGTGGGGGAGCTAGAGTTAGAAGCTCCGTATCGTATCTGAATAAGTTTTGAAGGAAGTTAGCAACTTTGTCCACATTAAGCATGCATATTTTCTTCTGGAAAATGATTTTCAAAGAATTCATACAGCTGCATATCTGTGAAAAGGTTCATAAGCTTAGACTTCAGATACTCATGTAAACACTCATATAACCTATAGCATTCTTGAGAGAGCTTTAGTTTTCTTTTCATTTGCCAGATAATTACATTTGGCTTAATCTGATTTTACAGCTATTTAGATTTCTCCCTTGAGCAGAATAGCGTAATCTTCCGTATCTAAGATTCATCTGTTTCTTGTTGAAAACAGATATGACACATAAAGGGAGACTAAGTTGAACCAATCCTCAGAGCCCAGTACAAATATATCTAATAAGTGCCCCCTTTAAAGACATTTTAATCGGGAAGAGGAGACTGGTGGCTAACAGAAAGCGGCAGCTCCTGGTAGTGTTACCGAAGCGCTTATCAGGCTGCCTCAGCTCAGACGTCTTACTCTTGAATTGCTATATTTAACAGGGGGAATATCATTTAACCTTCGTGCCTCAGATTACCCATTAGAAAATTGGGTATAATAATATTCACCTACCTCCCAGGGATATCAGAGACTTTACTATTTCAAAAATACTTTGAGTTTTTCTAAAATATCCTATATAATTAAAAAAGTATTACCATCTTTCCACAGAGGCTAAAAAATGTTTCCCTATGATGGGTATAAAAAGTACCATATGATTTTTCAGTTTAAAGAATAATCACTGGAATTCTACTTTAGATGCAGATTATTTAAACATATTTGTGGTGGGATTAAAATGGTTAGTTTCAGGTTAACAAGGGTTGGGGGGGAGTAACACTAAGTTTCTTAATTATAAGTAGTTGTTTTTTTAGCCTTTTAGGATGTCAATACATCTGTGCTTTCTGCCAAGGTTGTGGGGCTACAGCTAGGTAGAGTTTGGGTGATTGGTTATTGGAGTTGATAAATGACCCTGCAAGTTTTATCTGCCTCACTTTCCCATCTTCTCAATCTAATTTCCTTATACCACTTGTCTGGTGATGGATAGCTAAGCTTTTAACCTTTCAGGAATGAATGGGCGTCTCCTCATTCTTGTGCATCAGAGATTGTGTCCTAATCCTGTCACTACAGGTCTGTCCGGCTTCGTGCCTATGGGGCAAGCACTACACACAGTCAGCGGGGTAGACGTTAGCCAGTCTACCTGTGTGTAACTTAGGCTTCTTCCACCCGTGAAAGAGTCGGAGCCGTCCACTGTTCAGGTTGTAGGACAATGGGAGAGGGGAGGCAGGATTCACTTCTTAGCTGGGACGTGGGGTAGGAAGGGGAGGGATAGAAGGAAACATGTTTTGCCCATCTCTGAGGAAGGAATGAAGATCGTTTTATCCCACCTCTCATCCTGGCATGTTAAATAGCAAGACTTAGAATTTTCCTTTATCGTTTCAAACAACAACAGCAACAGGAAAAAAATGGATGCTGCGTTTGTAGTTAGGGCTAAATGCTAAGCAACAATTGTTAGAGAGTGTGTGTAGATTTAAATTATAGCACATATTCAGGGTCAGGAAAGAGAATGTAGAGAGTGAAGAACAAATTACCCAGCTCAAGTGAGTCAAGAGTAAGCACCAGGCCCAAGCAGACAAAGCATCCGGGTTAATTCCCACAATCGGCCAAGGCCCGTTTAATCTCTAGCGATAGGATGTTTTTGTCTTAAAAATCACTTTTTGGTTTTTTATTGCTTTTTTCAAGATAAAGCCTTAGTTAGTAACCTCTAAATATCAACTATGCAGATAAACATACTCTTTATTTTCCATACTTTCCCTCTTTTTCCATTCTTCAAATACAGCTGTTAAATGACTTCTACCCAAAGAAATAAGGCATAAGGGTTTTGTTGAATGTGTGTTTGTTCCTCTAGGGAACATAAAATAGAGATATTTTGTGTGTTCATCTATCCTAAAATGTGAACTTTATATTCAAAAAAACTTAATTTTACTGGTGCAAAACTGTAGTGAGAATCATGGAATGTCTTTGGGTTGTTAAGATGAAATCATCCCAGTGTTTAATTCTGAGAAAGTTCTGGAATGTAGAGAGTGAGGAACAAATCACAAATTCTAGATTCTGTGGCACAGTGTTCAGGTATGTAGAGCTGAACAGTTGGTTAGACTCTTAATTAAAAATAGCTTTGAATATTTATTGCTGAATTCCTTCTTTCTTCCTTCTTCTTACCTCTAATTTGAGCTCTTAAATTAACCATTTCATTAGCCAGTTGCTACACTAGAATATCCACTGCATATTGTTAAGAGTCCTGAGAGAAAAGGTTAGACTTTCACTTCCTTTTCTCTCTCACTCTGGCTGTCTTTCCTGGGTCTTCACTGCATTCAGAAGTGAAGACTGCAGGCATGGTCCAGGACAGTGTTCCTATCCTAGCATAGACTCAGACAGGGACTCGGAGGATTATCATCAGACTGCCTTTGAACAACTTTGAAATGAAAAATTACATTTTTCTCAGATACTCCCGAAGTATCATTTGCTTGAAAGTAGCTATTTGTGATCTTTATTTAATTTCTTCATACTATAATTCTTTAACTTCTCAATCTTTCTTACATATTGCCATTTATAGTGGGTTAGCAGTTTTCCAAACTGTTTCCCAAACAGGTCAAGGATACTTTCAGAAATCTCAGCAGTATAATTAAAGGGGTCTGTGTGTCCAGGATTTGGAATCAAGTTCACTGGTGACTGGAATTGTTTTTTTCTCTTCTACCTTTTATTAAAAACTAGATTTCTCTACTACTGTACAGTGTGGTTGCTACAGTTCATGGCTTCCTCTTAATACTTTTCAAGGTTATTCAAAAGAGATGCAGACCTTTATTAAGGGTTCTTATTTCTCATAATACTCTGCCTTGCTTATTTTCATACACTTCCCCTGGAATAAACCTGCTTTGCAAAGGTCTGTGTCACACAGGCCATATAAATTCTTAGAACCAGTTTTATGTTCCTCAGAAAATTCTGTACATTATTTGCTCCCATTTTGCTAATGATAATATAATTCTATTTTATCTTAAATCTAGTTTTAAAATATTTTATAATAGAGCACTAATGGAAACCTAAATGAAATACAAAAAAGATAACTATTACTCAAGATAACTTGGAAAATACTTCTGTTTTTGAAGGTAACAACTCCATCCACCCTCTAAGCACATTTAAGAGTCAGCAGTAACTGAGACCAGCCAGTCAGCATGTTTTTCTGTGTGACAGCCTGCCTTTAATTTGTCAGACCTTACCATCTTGTATTTTCTGTCCTTGCGGCCATAACCTTTCCTCATTTGTTTGCTATTTTGTGCTGTTTGCAAGGTTAGTGTGCCCTGGACCAGCACATAAGAGTTTTTCTTTCCCATGCCTGCAAAACTACCAAGGATTACCCTGATTTTGGCTAGGGACACTAAAAGACAAAGAAATTCTCAGCTGATAAAAGTATTGCTGTTTTATATAGTTAGTTAGAAAGTTGGCCGTCTTTAGCTGACTTTTTAAATCCTGCTATGCCTACATAATTAATTACATATACCACCTGAGACCTTCCGATAAGCAAGGGGCCTTTCCACCGGTAGAGGTAGGTTTCCAACCTACAAATAATTTCCTCTGATCTATGGCCGGCCACAGAAAAGATTCAAGCTTTGTATTGTCCTTTTGTTGGCTGTCATTGAAAAATTATAGAAAGTATCAAAAATACCAAATTGTCCTTAAGAAGAGTATGTAATCTGGGGCTTGCCCTTGTGTTTTGCCTAAATATGATTGTCAAGCTTAAAAGAAAAGGAAAAGAAATCTCTGGCTGGTGAGAATTTTGTGCCCCAAATAATATGTTAATCAAAGTCTACCAAGGTAACTAAGTGATAGGCGTTTTCTCTCTTTTATTACAAGCAAGAAAGTTTATTTGCAGTTGTAAAATTATTGTGGGACTGCAGACCAATTATTTGCTATAACTGATTGGGAATAAGGATTTTGATTTTTAGTCTGGGTAAGCACATATTTCCAACACTTGTGGTATGAATTCTGATAAGGGAAAGACTTTTGTTTGGTAACAGAAGGAAAAACAGGACTTACTGATACAGTGAACGTTCACTCTCTAGAGGAACTTCCCTCCAGGTACACATCTTCCTCTTACTTTAGCCGCCTCCACACTTGACAGAGCTGCCAACATGTTCCACAACCGATCTTGAAGAAAGGGGCCTACAGAATCGCAGCTCCTCTGGGTGAAGGGCACTGATTACTCTCTTGCATTTGTTTATAGGGAGGTGCGTTTGTGCTAACTTGAAGGGATATGCTGTATTTTAAATAAGTGTGTGACTTAATATTTTGGGATTTTTTTTTTCCTCCTTTAAAACTGGACCTGAACACAGCTTTGAGTTGATATTTGTAATAATCTCAGGACCTGAAAGATTGTAGCATTTAGTGTGTCTTAAAAATTATGTACTGTACCAGCCATGGATTTTTGTAAATATACCTGTCTCCCTTTTTTGTATTATTTTAGTAAAAAAAA